TTGCAAGCATCCCAATGCCGTTCTGTAATTTCCTGCACTTGAGAGATCACGGACTGCCCCAGGTTGTAAGTAATGGACAGAATAATGTAGGTAACTTACCCAGTGACTTCCCAAAACTTAGAATTGATGGCATTAATTTACAAGAGTGGTATCAACAGCTTCAGGTTATTTTCATGAAAGAAAATTTACTATTCTTTATAACTAGCCCTCCAAGAAGACCTTGGACTTTAAAAATAGATTGTTTACATCATAGAGCATTTTTCATAATAATATCTAGCGTGTCTCCTGCAATGTATCATAGCATCAAACCAAACCTAACTGTATCAGAAATAATTCAATGCATGTTTAATCTATTTCACAGCGATAGCGTAGCTACAACCACAAGAATGTCTAAGGATTTCTTTTCCTCTAGAGTAAAACCAGGGGTTTCTATAAGTGAGCATTTGATAAATCTAAACAAAATAAGAGCTGAGCTACAATTGAGGGGGGAAGTGATTTCAGATCAAACAATGAAAAGTGTTATTATCAATTCACTTGATCCATCATGGGATAGCTTTATGTCACACTTAGATACCATTAATTTGGGATATTTATCCATAGAAAGTCTATCTAACAAATTGATAGCAGAAGACAATTCAAGAAAAAATCGATCCAGTAACCAAACAGACCACAAACCTTTTAGGAAAGTAGTCTTTCAAGATAAACATAATGAGGCCTTTAGATGCTACAATTGTGGATCCAGGGAACATAGTAGAAGAGACTGTCCCAAAGTCTCAAGAGAGAGACATAGGCCAGAATATAGGAGCAAATATAATTACAGACAATCTTCCACAGATAGACACAAATATAGAAGTCCACCAAATTACAAAGAAGGTAGAGGGGGTAGAGAAAATTCAAAAGAGAGGAAATCTGGGTCACTGAATGGGCTAAATAAACAAGACAGCACCAGAACACAGCAGGATGAGAATAACAATTGGCTTATTGATTCTGGTGCAACAAATCACACCACCAACAACAAAAGTATATTATCTTCATTTATAGAAGATAAGTTTGTGATAAAGGTAGCTAATCAAGAAAAGGTTCAAGTACTAGGCAAAGGAAATGTGACCTTGCCTGGTCTAGGGAAAATAGAGGGGGTATTATTAATCCCAGAAATACCTCACAACATACTAAGTGCCATAAAATTAAGCAGAGAATCTGATATCAATATAGTTTTCTCAAAAGGGAAAGCAACTATAGAAAAGAACAAAACAAATGTAGGTACTGTAATGATAAAAGGAGGTCTACCCTATCTGATAACTAAAGAAAGATGTTTACATAACATTGATTCAAATATGGAAGATTGTATTGAAGCAGATGATGAAAATGTCAGTAACAGTGACAATGATGAGTGTAGAATAACTCATGATCACAAAAATACATACAAAGAAAAGAAACCAAAAATAGGTAAACCAATTCATGATGAGTGTGCTCACATCTTACACAGGAAGTTAGGACATGCAAGCTTTCCTGTAGTACAAAAAATGACTGAACACGCAGAAGGTGTCAAAATAAAAAATTGTGAAAATTATTTGGAATGCTCAGTATGTAAATCCACCAAACTAAAAACCAGTCCCAGACCAAAAAAATCTAACAGATCAACTAACAATATTTTTGATTTGGTACATATGGACTTAGTTGGTCCATTAAGTCCCTCAATTACCTATAGAAAACGTTACTTCCTAACAATAGTGGATGACTACAGCCGATATGGTTTTGTTTACACATTAAAGCACAAGGATGAAACATTTCAGAAATTTAAGGAATTCTACAAACGTATAGAAACACAACATAATATCAGAATAAAGCAAATTATGACAGATAGGGGATGTGAGTTCATGTCTAAAGAATTCTCCCAATGGTTAAAGGATAGAGGAATGTTACATTTCACGTCCAATCCTTTTTCTGCATTTCAAAATGGAGTTGCAGAGAGGAAAAATTCCACACTACAAACCATGATTAGGTGCACATTAGAGGATGCTGGTTTAGGCAAACAATTTTGGTCAGAGGCATTACATTATTCAAATTACACTCAAAATAGAACCTGGTCCAGTATTGTGAATAAGACACCATATGAGGTGATGTACAATAGAAAACCCAAATTATCACACATGCACATATTTGGAGTCACTGCAGACGTACACATACCTAAACAATTGAGGAGAAAGGGAGAAAACGTATCCAGGAGATTAAGATTCATGGGATACGAAACTGGAACCAAAGGGTACAGATTTATTGATAGTAATAACAAATTTATAGTATCCAGAACAGCTGTGTTCCATGAACAGGCCAATTGGTCAAAATTGCACCTTAATGAAATATTTCCTAATAAATGTAAAGATACGATATCTTGCGAGGAAGGAACAACAGAAAATCAAAATATTAACAAAAGTAAGAACAAAATCAAAACTTGGACTAATAGTCAGCATAAAATAAAGACAGACACATTAACAAAGAAGGAAGCTAGATATTTGCATGATAACCATAGCAAGCCTGAAAGAACTATTAGGAACAATAGAAACCAAATACCAAATAAATACAAAGACTACATAATGCATATGAATGGAGAACAAATAACACCTAATACATATGAAGAAGTATTGAAACTTCCACATGAAGAAAGAGAAAAATGGGAACTAGCTATGGAAAAAGAGATGGAAAGTTTACAAGGATTAAATGTATTCACACCTGCGATCGCACCTAAGGATAAAACAATTATAGGTACCAGGTGGATTTATAAAATTAAAAACTTAGAAGGAGGCAATACCTTATACAAGGCTAGACTAGTTGCACAAGGCTATGCACAAAAATACCCAGAAGACTATACTGATACATATTCACCCACAGTGAGAACAGAGAGTGTCAAAACAGCCCTTGTAGTAGCATCTGCACTCAATCTGGACGTATTCCAATATGACATACAGACCGCATACTTACATGCAAAATTAGATAAGGAAATATATGTAAGAGCACCACACAGTCAATACACTAATAAGAACGAAATTTGGTTATTAAATAAGAGTCTGTACGGATTAAAGCAATCCGGCAAAAGATGGTACGATTGCTTGGTAAAAGTACTTAAGACCATGGATTTCAACGCCACCACTGCTGATAACTGTTTCTTTGTAAAAAAGAGTAATGATCATATTGAATTTGTATTAATTTACGTGGACGATATTTTATACATTGGAAAGCATAAAGAGAGCAGGGAAATCTTTGTAAATAAGTTAAATGAACACTTCTCACTGAAATCTCTGGGTAAAGTGAATAAATACCTTGGTGTGCAAATTAACAAAACTAAAAGGGGATTCAAACTTACACAGAAAGATAAAATCATCGAACTCCTAAACAAATGTAACTTAAATAATGCCAAAACCTGTGACACCCCTATGCAAACTGATTTTCTTAGAAACACTGATGAATCTTCCCCTGAGTTTAAAGACAACACATTTTACAGATCAGTTATAGGTTCACTCATTTATATATCTAATTGGACTAGGCCAGATATTGCATTACCTCTCAATCTACTGTCAAGATATGTTAGTAAACCAACCTTGTATCATTGGGAAGCTGTCAAGAGAATTCTAAGATATCTGAAGGGTACATTAGATTTTTGTTTAATGTTGGAACCCAATAATGACAGAGAACCAAAAATTACTTGTTATGCTGATGCAGATTGGGCTGGTGATACATCATGCAGAAAGAGTACTTCTGGTTATGTTTTTCTATTGAATGATTGTCCAGTTTACTGGTATACTGGTAAACAAGAACTAGTAGCCACTTCTACTACAGAAGCGGAATATGTTTGTTTGTCCAAGGCTGCAAATAACCTTGTATGGTTCAATGATCTGATCACTGATGTTTGGAAGAAACCCACTTTACCATTTATTATGCATGAAGACAATAAGGCGGCCATTGAAATATCCAGATCCGATGCAATTGGACAAAGGTCCAGGCATATTGATATAAAGTTTAAGCATGTGAGACAACTGTCTCAAGACGGATTCATTAAAGCAATACATTGCGATACTTCTGAACAATTAGCTGACATATTAACAAAACCCTTACCTTCTAAACAACACAAATATTTAACTTCTAAATTATATGTATTATATTGTCCTGAATCAGAATGTAATTGGTGTTGTGTAACGAACCGGCATTTAGAGGGGGATTTGTCAGATGTAAATGCCTTATTCTCCAATGTGTAAATAATGTATATATGGAACATCAGAGGTTAACTTATTCTTTGGACTTTAATGTATTCATAACTTACCACTCCCATTCCTAGCTCCACCCCTTGTATATATAAGGAGCCACCCTCACCATTCTAACTGCTTCTACCTTGAATATTCGGTGAATATAGAATGCCTATCATAATTAAAAAGAAATATATTTAAAGCTCTAACTCCTATTATCTTTATTGAGTCTGATCCTGAAAATATTGCAACAAGAATATTGTAGCAAAGAGATTTTCCTCAATGAAAAGAGGGAATCCAGGACACAAAGAGCGGCTGATTCAAACTCAGGGTCTCCGAAGGTCCCACAATAGACCCAACTGACTGCCCTTCATGGGCTCATATAAGGCTTCAACCCTTGACCTCCGCTGGCCTCAATACGGGGGGGGGGAGACCAGACCCCAAAGTTCAAAGAAAGCCCCCCCCCGTCCCACCTCCGCCCCGGACCGTAATAACTTGCGGAACTGCGCAGGTGCCATGTGCCTTGTTGCAGGAAGAAGGACACTGATTGGTCACGCTCGGGATGTCAGCAATGGGCAAATGGACTCCAAGGGGCGGATCCTACAAGGGAAAAGGCGGAACTAGTGGAGAGAAAAGGGCGTGAAGCCTCCACTTCCGGAAACAAAAAAGGCAGTGAGGGAAGCTGCCTGAATCAGCGACAGAGGAGGCCGTTTGATGCAGGTTTGGCGCAGGGGATGCTGGGAATCGTAGTCCGGGAGGGTCTCTTTCAGGTCCGCATGGGAGGGGGCTTGGACCTGGGCCTCCCCTGTGGGGAAGGGGACGCAGCCGTGACCTTCTTCTCTCTCTCACCTGCAGGAGGACGGATGCAGGAAAGAGGCGCCGCCCGAGAGGAGGAGGAAGAGGAGAGCGGCGGGGAAAGGCCGGGGGGCTCTGGGGCTGCAGGCAGGAGGAGCCCAGGGGGAGCCCGGGAAAGGCAGCTGCCTGGAGGGCGATGCGGAGAGGAGGAAACGGGCGGAGACCCCGAGACAGGCCTGGAGGGCGGAGGTTCCTTTGAAAGATCCCGAAAGCCCCGAAGGATCCAGGAGGAAGAAAATGAACATCAGTGCCCAGAATGTTGTAAAACCTTCAAAAGAAAAGGAAACCTTCAAAGCCACCTAATTATCCACACAGGAGAGAAACCTCATAAGTGCCTGGAGTGTGGAAAGAGCTTTGGTGATAGGAGCACCCTCTATAGACATCAAAAAATCCACTCAGGAGAAAAACCACATAAATGCCTTGAGTGTGGAAAGAGATTCAGTCAGAGGGGACATCTTTATAGACATCAAAGGATCCACTCAGGAGAAAAACCTCATAAATGCCTGGAATGTGGAAAGAGCTTCAGTCAGAGGGGACATCTTTATACACATCAAAGAATCCACACAGGAGGGAAACCTCATAAGTGCCTGGAGTGTGGAAAGAGATTCAGTCAGAGGGGATATCTTTATAGACATCAAAGAATCCACTCAGGAGTAAAACCTCATAAATGCCTTGAGTGTGGAAAGCGATTCAGTCAGAGGGGACATCTTTATAGACATCAAAGGATCCACTCAGGAGAAAAACCTAAGTGCCTGGAATGTGGAAAGAGCTTCAGTCGCAGCAGCAGCCTTTATACACATCAAAGGATCCACTCAGGAGAAAAACCTCATAAGTGCCTGGAGTGTGGAAAGAGCTTCAGTAAGAGGGGACATCTTTATACACATCAAAGAATCCACTCAGGAGAAAAACCTCATAAATGCCTGGAGTGTGGAAAGAGCTTCAGTCAGAGGGGACATCTTTATGTACATCAAAGGATCCACACAGGTGAAAAACCACATAACTGCTTGGAGTGTGGAAAGAGCTTCAATCAGTTGGGAAACCTTTATACACATCAAAGGATCCACACAGGTGAAAAACCACATAACTGCTTGGAGTGTGGAAAGAGCTTCAATCAGTTGGGAAACCTTTATACACATCAAAGGATCCACACAGGAGAAAAACCTCATAAATGCCTGGAGTGTGGAAAGCGCTTCAGTAAGAGGGGACATCTTTATACACATCAAAGGATCCACACAGGAGAGAAACCTCATAAGTGCCTTGAGTGTGGAAAGAGATTCAGTCTGAAGGGAAATCTTTATATACATCAAAGGATCCACACAGGAGAAAAACCTCATAAATGCCTGGAATGTGGAAAGAGCTTCAGTCAGTTGGGAAACCTTTATACACATCAAAGGATCCACACAGGAGAAAAACCTCATAAATGCCTTGAGTGTGGAAAGAGCTTCAGTCATAGCAGCGCCCTTTATACACATCAAAGGATCCATTCAGGGGGTGGAACCTCATAAATGCCTGGAATGTGGAAAGAGATTCAGTCTGAGGGGAAATCTTTATACACATCAAAGGATCCACACAGGAGAAAAACCTCATAAATGCCTTGAGTGTGGAAAGAGCTTCAGTCTGAGGGGAAATCTTTATGTATATCAAAGGATCCACACAGGAGAAAAACCTCATAAATGCCTTGAGTGTGGAAAGAGCTTCAGTCTGAGGGGAAATCTTTATGTATATCAAAGGATCCACATAGGAGAAAAACCTCATAAATGCCTTGAGTGTGGAAAGAGCTTCAGTCTGAGGGGAAATCTTTATATACATCAAAGGATCCACACAGGAGAAAAACCTCATAAATGCCTGGAGTGTGGAAAGAGCTTCAGTCTGAGGGGAAATCTTTATGTATATCAAAGGATCCACATAGGAGAAAAACCTCATAAATGCCTTGAGTGTGGAAAGAGATTCAGTCTGAGGGGAAATCTTTATGTACATCAAAGGATCCACACAGGAGAAAAACCTCATAAATGCCTGGAGTGTGGAAAGAGCTTCAGTCATAGCAGTGCCGTTTATACACATCAAGGGATCCATTGGGGGGGGGGACACCATATAAATGCGTGGAATGTGGTTCTTCCAAGATAAACACCAAGTCATCGGCAAATGCTTGCAATTTATATTCTTGATTTTGAATTTTCATTACTTTTATTCCTTTTTCTTCTCTAATATTTCTATTTAGTACTTCTAGTGTTAACACAAACAACAATGGTGACAATGGACATCCTTGTCTCGTTCCTTTTTGTATTTCAATAGATTCTGTCATCTCTCCATTCATCATTATTTTGGCTGTTTGTTTATAATATATAGCTTCTATAGCTTGAACAAATTTCTCTCCAAAGCCCATCTGTTTCAATTGTAATATCATAAATCGCCAGTTCACATTGTCAAAGGCTTTTTGTGCATCTAAAAACATCAAAGCCACTTGCTTTTCTGGGTGTGCATCGTAATATTCCAATGTATCCAAAATTATCCTCAAATTATCTCTAATCTGCCTTTTTGGCAGAAATTCATTTTGGTCGGGGTGTATAAAATTATTTAGATATCTTTTAAGTCTTTCTGCTAATATTATAGCGAAGATTTTATAGTCTGAGTTTAACAAGGATATTGGCCTATAGTTTTTGACTTGTTGTAGATCAGTATCTTTTTTTGGAATAAGTGTAATATATGCTTCTAACCATGAGTTGGGTATTTCCTTCTGTAACATTACTTCATTCATAATTTCTAGTAATGGGAGACTCAGTGATTCCTGCAAAGTCTTATAATATTCCGCCGGTAATCCATCTGGACCTGGTGCTTTCCCACTTTTTTGTTTTTTAATAGCCTCTGTCAACTCCATCATTGTTATATTCCCTTCTAACATCATCTCAACATCTTTTGGGATCTGAGGTAAGTTCGCCTTATGTAAATATTGTTTAATATTTTCCTCTTCTATCTTTTCCTTTTCATATAACTTTTTGTAATAGTCTTGTACAATGTTCTTCTTTTCCTCATTTCCAAATCTAATTTGTCCTTGATCATCTGTTAGCTGAGTTATTTTCCTTGAGCTTCTTTCTTTTTTCAATTTATAAGCTAGCCATCTGCCTGGTTTATTAGCATCTTCAAAATATTTCTGTTTAGCATTCCTGATTTTTTGTGCTAACTCTTCTTTCTCTAATAATCCCATTTTATGTTTAATCGTATCCATTTTCATTTTAATGTCTTTTTTTTTTTGTGGGAACTTCTGCAGTTCTTTTTCTAATGTCTTATAATCATCCTCTAAAGTTTTATATGCTTGTCTTTTCTTAATATTTCTTTTCCTTATATAGTCTATAATCAGGCCTCTGGCATAGGCTTTCATGGTGTCCCATCGATTCTGCAGTGATGTATCCTCTTTTCTATTTTCTTTTTTAAAAAAAGCTAATTCTTTCTCCATCTTCTGTAGGAAATCCTTTTCTTTTAAAATTGTAGTGTTTAAAGTCCATCTGGACCTTCTCCTTTGTCCTTTCCAACTCATCATCATTGGATTATGATCTGCCCAGGTATTAGCCTCTATGGCTATTTCTTCTATATTCGAGGTCAAGTCCATTGTCAACCATATCATATCTATTCTAGACCATGATAAATGTCTATTGGAGTAAAAAGTATATTGTCTATTTTCTGCATTTCTTTCTCTCCATATATCTTTTAAGTTTATTTCCTCCATCATCTTAAAAAAAGATTTCGGCAAAGTTTTCCTACTTTGTTTTGTTGCCTTTTGTGTACTGTAGTCCATTTTCTCATCTACTATTCCATTGAAGTCTCCCATCATACAGATGTTTTCGTAGCCCAGCTCTATTACTTTCAAATGTAATTTTCTATAAAAGTTTTCTTGATTGCCACTAGGAGCATATATCGCTGTTAACAATATTTTCCTGTTATTGTCTGTTATTTCCACCATCAGAATTCGTCCTTCTCCATCTTCATAATTTTTTTCTGCTAATATTGTATCTTTAATGTACAAAACCACTCCTCTTTTCTTACATTGTGGCAGTGAAGCAAATAGTTTCCCTAGTTTGGGCTGTACCAAAAGTGGTTCATGCTGCTTTTTAATATGCACTTCTTGTAAACAAATTATGTCCATTTTCAATTTCTCCAATTTGTGAAATATCTTTCTTCTTTTAGTTGCTATATTAAGTCCATTTATATTTATTGAGATTAATTTTTTCTCCTCCATGTTTATATTTTTTGTATTGGTTTTGTTGATCTATTAGGTCTCAATTCACGTTGTTCCTTGTATTCTATGGCACCTCCTACTGCGCCTTCTAATGCGCTCTCCTCCTTTCCCATCATCAGGAGATCCTCTTCTTCTAGTTGGAGCAGTGACTCTTCCCTTCTTGGCACATCTTTTTCTCTTATATATTCCACAAGAAATGCTTTAGCTTTGTCAATTGAATCTATTTTGAATCTTTGTGTTTGCCATGTAAACACCAATCCTTCTGCTATCAGCCATCTGTAGTTCACTCCTTTCTGGAGCAGTATTTTTGTCAAAAATTGATACTCTCTTCTCAGCTCTCTTATTCTTCTCGGTATTTGCTTCAGCACCGTAATTTCCTTGCTCTTGTATTGTAACGCCTTCTCTTTTGCTATCTGCAATATTTGTGTTTTGATTGATTTTTTTGGTAAATCTTATGTGGACTTCTCTTGGTAGTTTATTTCTCATTGCATATCTAGTATATACTCGGTATATTTCATCAACACCATCAAACATTTTTTCTTTAGAAATTTCTAGAGCTCCTGCAAGAATTTCTATCATTTTTTTCCGCCAAATTTTCTCCTTTTTCTTCCTCCACATTTTGAAATCTTAAGTAAAATTCTGATTTATCCATCTCCCATTCTAAGCCGCTTCTATCACGTTCAACTTCTTCTAATCTATAATCCATATCTCTGATTTTTTTATCTCTTTGTTCCTCTTTTTCTTCAATTTTTTTCAAGTCTGTCTTCATATTTCTTCATCATCTGTTGTATATTCTCCACTTTTTCATCTATTTTCTCTATTTTAGATTTTATGTCTTGTATTCCTTGCAAAATCATCCGCATTGTCGCATCTTTTTCTTTCTCACGTTCTTTCTCTTTTTCCTGCTGAATCATTGTCTGTATTGATCGTTGTCCTCCCGCTGGTGATGAAGAAGGGGTCGATCCGGCAGAACTAATAACTGCTGTTTTTTTGCTCATTTCTATAAGTAATCCAATTCGACACAGTAGGGTAATATATCTTCAGGTTCTTCTCAACCCTAATCCGTTTTGTAGATGGCAGGAGATTACAAAAGGTTAAAGAGAAAAAGAGAAAACAGAAAAAAGCAAAAAAAGGGAAAAAAGGAAAGTGCAGCAAAGCAAGAAAAAAAAAACCCTAAAAAGAAAACCAACACTCTTCAGGCTCTTGTGTGCCCTAATCCAATCATCTGAGATAGCCAAAAACAAATTCAAGTAAAAATCTCCAATCAACAAGTGAGAAAGAAAAAAGAAAGAAAGAAAAGAAAAGAGACCAAAGGAGAAAATGGGAAAATTTCTTCAGACTCTTGTATGTCTTAATCCAATTGTGTAAAATAGCCAAAAACCCATTCAAATAACAATCTCCAATCAGTAAATTAAAAAAATAAAAAAGAAGAAAGAAAAAAAAACACGAATTTCTTCAGGCTCTTATGTACCTTAATCCAATTAAGTAAACATTTATTGTGAAGGAATAAAGGAATAAAAAAGGGAGAAAAAAATATATGTATATATCTGTTCCAATATTTTAAAATGTTTTTAAAAATATAATTATTAGTGAAGTGGAAGAGTGGAGCTAGAGAGAGAAAGAATTTCCATTTTATATAAAAGTCCACAACTGTGTAACATTCAAAATTTCTTTCTTGTGCACACTTAGTCTAACAGCTCTCTTTTCCAGAGCCGCTGTTATTTTCTTCTTTCCAGTTTTAATCGCCTTTCAACAATGCTTTTCTCAGCAAGACACCTGTATAAACAAACTGGTAGGCACTCTTTGATGTCCTTTTTAAATTTTATCTGTAAGTTAGCCAATTGACCTTGAAAAATAACACAGTTGCTACTTTTTTCCCTTTCCCCTCAGTTCAAAAAAACACCAAAAAGAAGATACAACGTTTCAATCCACTAGATGGCAGTCTCTTATTTCTTCCACTTTCACTTCTGCTTTCAATTAGCAATATAGCAAAAAGAATATTAAAAAAAATGAAGGTCTGCCAAAAACAAAAATGACAAATCTAATTCCAAAATTAGTGATCTCAGTCAACATCAAAAATTCAATAAAAAAGTAAGCCTCCTTTCCAGTCCAGTCCAGTCCAGTCCAGTTAGGTTTAAAGTAAAACTTTCCGCAGATATCCACACATAGGAATAGTTTATATTTTAGGAAAATTAACTTAAATTCAGGCTCAATTCCGCCGCTAAATTACTTCTATATTAAATCCTAGTTGCATTTACTCTTCAGGGTGTTTGTAAAATCAAATTAGAAAAAAACTCTCACCAGATCGTAACATTTTCACTCATTCTCTTCCGTTCGGGGCTGTCCCAACTTCAGCAGCTTAATGGCTGCCTCTTCAGCGCTGGAAAAAAGAGCTTCTCCTGGATCAACCAGGGACTTTGCGGTGTCCCTAGGATCAACAGAATGTGCCCTCCTCTATCACTGTCTCAACAGGACAGTGAGATCCAATTTGGATCATCCCGCAGTGGAGATATCAGTGGTAGTTCCGGAGCCCCGAAAACTTCCCGCTGTCTCGTTGCGATGCCAGCCCCGCCCCCCACTTCAATCTGTAAACAAATTGATAGATAAAATAGGAGATTTTGGGAAAGTGGCTGGGTTGAAAATAAACAAAGACAAAACGAAGATGTTGACAAAAAATATGTTAAAAAAACAGAAAGAAGAATTGGCGGAAGTATCAAGGATGCAGGTCATGAATAAGGTTAAATATTTGGGAATACACTTGACAGCAAGATGTGGTACTCTTAAGGAGAATAATTATGATAAGCTTAAACAACAGATAGTGACAGACCTAACAAAATGGGAGAATTTGCAGTTATCATTAATAGGGAGAATTTCAACTATTAAAATGAATATACTGCCCAGACTTCTATACTTGTTTCAGACAATTCCAATTAAGTTGGGGAAAAAATATTTTGAAGATTTAAATAAAATGGTGTTAAAATATATATGGCAGGGCAAAAAGGCAAGGATAAAATTAAAATTGATGCAAGATGTTAGATTAAGAGAAGGTTTTGGTTTGCCGGATTGGGAATTGTATTATCAAGTTTGTAACTTGATGTGGATTAAAGAATGGATAACACTAAGGAATATTAGATCGTTGACCTTAGAAGGACATGACTTATTGTTGGGTTGGCACGCTTTTATGTGGTATAAAAGTACAAAAATACAGGGTTATTTTAGAAGACATATGATACGAGAGTCTTTGTTATTAAACTGGGAGAAGATCAAACAATGTTACTACTTAAAAATTCCAGTCTGGCTATCACCTATTGAAGCAGTCTCACACGCAGTAACGTTTAGGAAGGAACAAATTGTTAGATATGGTGAATTATTACATGAAAGGGGTGAACTTAAATCGAAGCAAGAATTAGAAGAACAAGAGCTTGAAATGGATTGGTTTTCATATATGCAAATACAGTCTAGATATGATGAAGATTCTGAAAAGGAGGGTTTTTATAGCACCTTGACAAACTTAGATAAAATTTTAATAGGTTCTGATGACCATGTGATTAAAAAATTGTATAGCCATTTATTAGAAGTAAAATTGGCAGAAGAACAAGTTAAAGAAACAATGATTGCATGGGGGAAAAATGTGGGTCATGGGATTGAGTTAGAGAAATGGGAAAAATTATGGTCACAGAATTATAAAATGACAATGTCAACAGCATATAAGGAAAACTTGTATAAGATGTTTTACAGGTGGCATCTACCCCGGCGAGAATAGCCAGAATGTACAAGAACAAATCGGAGAAATGTTGGAAGTGTCATCAGTCTCCGGGCACATATTATCATATGTGGTGGACATGCGCAAAAGCTAAAAGATATTGGACTAAAATCCACAGGTGGTTGGAAAAAATGACAAAGAAACATATTGACTTTAAACCAGATATATTTTTATTGGGGATTTTACCAGAAATATATAACAGAGAAATGAGATATTTAATTGTGAATGTTTTAACGGCAGCTAGAATTGTATTTGCTAGAAACTGGAAAGGTGAGAAGATACCCACGGATGACGACGTTATCAAGAAAATCTTGGAGTGTGCTGAAATGAGTAAATTGACATTTGAAATTAGGGAACAAGAAGATTAACAATATTATTTGATATGGGATTTATTTTATCAATGGTTAGACAAGAAAGAATGGACATGAAATATAAAATGAAATGGATAAGATAATGAAATATATAAAGGGGTTTTTTTTCCCCCCTTACAGAGGATAATTTACTGTTAAATAATTGGTAAAGGAGAATAATAATGTAATAAACTGTTAAATAAGAAAATATGGGATAGAGGATTAAGCACAAAAGATTTGTAACCGATCAATACACTTTCTGTAATTGTAATGGATGACAATTGTTTTATGTTTTAAGTTTTGTTTAAAAATAAAAAAAAATTCAAAAAAATAAATAAATAAATGCCTGGAGTGTGGAAAGAGCTTCAGTCATAGCAGCGCCCTGTATACACATCAAAGGATCCTTTCAGGGGAGGGGAACCATATAAATGCCTGGAATGTGGAAAGAGTTTTAGATACAAGAGAAGCCTTAATAGGCATTAAAGAATCCATTCGTTAGTGGAACCAGTTGAAGTCCTAATGTATGAAAAGACATTCAATCACACTGGAAACTTTTATAAACATCAAAGGAGCCACACAAGAGAGAAACCACATAAATGCCTGGTAAGAAAGGTAATAAAATCCAATTAACGCTTTCACTTTTAATAAATTTAATATATTTTTTTCTTTTAATAAATTCCTTTAGTCTTCCAAGGCCATGCCCAGGGTCCCAGGCCTGAGTTTGACTGGGGATTGAGTTGAAATGCGAGTTGGAAACAGTGTGGGCAGTTGAACGGTTTTTCTACCAAATTGGGCTAGTTTTGCAGATTTGTTGCAGGAAAAAGTTTGACCTCTGTGGGTTCCAATTTGGAGGCTATTTTGGATTATTTTTAAAGCACTGTACAGATAGTCCTTGACGTACAACTATTTGCTAAGTGACTTAGTGAAGTTATAGCAACACTGAAAAAAGTGGCCTTGACCAGTTTTCACACTTACGACTGTTCCAGCATCCCTGTGGTCATGTGGTCAAAATCCAGGCGTTTAGTCACTGGCACGTATTTATGACGGCTGCGCTGTCCCAGGGTCACATCATCAGCATTTGTAACCTTCCCAGCTGGTGTCCCACAAACGCATTGGAGGATTCCCATAACAACTTCACAACTCACTTCACAACTGTAGGATATGACCTCCCAATTATGGCAAAAAATGGGGTGCAGCAACTGTCAAGAACAGAAATTTTTGTCTCAATTCTGATTGTAGATCTAGTTAGTACTACCTGTACAGTTTGGGGGCAATATATCCAACCGTCATGAACGATAACCGCAAAATACATCCCAGAGACAGTAAGAGGATTAAGTCAGCCAGGCCCTCCCCCCCAGCTGCCTTGCCAGCCCCTCCACAGACCCCCCCCCCACACATACACATACACACACACACATGGATTCATCTTCTCCTTTCTCATCCCTCCTCCTTTCTGAAGGGCCCCTTTGGAAAACTGCAGCAGAGGGGGAAATAACCTCCAATACTGACCCCTGCATATTTGGATTTTTCAACTTTTTTTGAGCCCTTGGATGCTCCATTTGACACACACATATATATTTTCCTCCTCCACCCCCTCCCCATTTGGAGGGGGCTCCTGCTGCTGCTGCCCAGGCCAGTGTGCCCTGCGATGTAGCCCTCCACCCACGGACTGGCACCTTTTAAATGGCTAACTTAAAATGACATATTAGCCCTTTTAACATGGCAGTCTATACCTCTTTTTTAAGGTTAAGAATGCTTGTTTTTTTCCCTTCTTGACGAAGGCTCTTTATTTGATATGAGAGAACTTGCTTTTTCAGCAACTACACAACAGAGTATTCCGAGTGTCTCTAAATACATCTGCAACTTTCAGGAAAGACACAAACCCAGCTGGGAAAGACTGACACAAAAATTGGTCACGTGTGGAATTTAATCCAGAATCAATGTTTTCTGTTTGCACTTCACAAGCACTCAATGTATTTTATGGTTTCATCATTTCTTTACTGACTTCTATGAGGAAATTCACCAGCAGGAACCATTGGCAGGAGGTTCTCCTCCTTAGCTCCTCTTTAACTGGAGATGGTCTCCTTTTCTGCATGAATTCCTAGTTCTTCTACCTAGGAACAAGAATTGTCCTGGATGAAATGGAGGCCATATAGATGCTTCTTAAAAACACATTTGCGAGTTGTAGGATCTTATTTATTAGAATCCTGGATTTATTTTTACAAATCGGGGGGATATTTTCCTTTGTTTCCAACAAAATAAAGGAATATTTGTAGCTCAGGGTTGAAATGCGGGGTCTTTTTAGCTCCCTGAGGTCCCCACACCCTTCCAGCAACTATGATGTTAGCTAGGAAGTAATGAGACGTGCAACGTGCCCTCCTCCTCTCTTCCCCCAACAACAACCCTGTGAGGTGGGCTGCACCGAAAGAGGGGCTTGAACTCCGGGTCTCTTGCTTTCTACCCTGGTGCCTTAATCAATGGACCAAACTGGGTTCCCTTTATAGTCTTCTTTAAGGTCGCAGCCCCAGAAGAGCCCCTGATCTCTGCCTGCCTCAATACAGAGCGGGGGGAGGGAGGGGAGATTGGATCCCAAATTTCAAGGGAAGCGGCTTGAATCGGCGAAAGAGGAGCCCGGATGATACAGTTTGGTGCAGGGAATGTTGGGACTCGCAGTCTTTGGGGGTCTCTTTTGGGTCCGCAAGAGGCGGGGTCTTGGGCCTGGGCCTCCCCTGTGGGGAAGGGGACGCAGCCGTGACCTTCTTCTCTTTCTCCCCTGCAGGAGGACGGAGGATGGCGGCGGATGCAGGAAAGAGGCGCCGCACGAGAGGAGGAGGAGGCGAGCAGGCCCTCAGAGCAGCAATGCCCGCTCCCGGCGTGGCTTCCCTGGGAGACAGCGGGGAAAGGCCAGGGGGCTCCGGGGCTGCAGGAGGGATGAGCCCAGGGGGAGCCTGGGAAAGGCAGCTGCCTAGAGGGCGATGCGGGGAGGAGGAAACGGGTGGAGACCCCGAGACGGGCCTGGAGGGCGGGGGCTCCTTCCGAAGACCCCGAAAGCCCCAGAGGATCCAGCCGGAAGGAAAGGAACATCAGTGCCTGGAATGTGGGAAAACCTTCAGAACAAATGGATGTTTTGAAAACCATCTAAAAAACCACTCAGTTGGAAACCGATATCAATGCCTTGAGTGTGGAAAGAAGTTCAATGGGAGAACAAATCTTGATCAACATCAAAGGATCCACTCATACGAATGCCTGGAGATTCAGTCTGAGGGGAAACCTTTCTAGCCATCAGAGGAGCCACACAGGAGAAAAACCTCATAAATGCCTGGAGTGTGGAAAGAGCTTCAGTCGGAGGAGCAGGCTTTATACACATCAAAGGATCCATTCTGGAGAGAAACTGAAGAAATGCCTGGAGGGCGGAGGGTCCTTCAGAAGACCTGGAGATCCCGAAAGGATCCAGGAGGGAGGAAAGAAACATCAGTGCCTGGAATGTGAAAAATCCTTCAGAACAAACTACCATCTTCAAAGCTACCTAAGAATCCACACAGGAGAAAAACCTCATAAATGCCTTGAGTGTGGAAAAAGATTCAGTCTGAGTGGAAATCTTTATAAACTTCAAAGGATCCACACAGGAGAAAAACCTCATAAATGCCTGGAGTGTGGAAAGAGCTTCAATCAGAGGGGAAACCTTTATACACATCAAAGGATCCATTCAGGGGGGAACCATATAAATGCCTGGAATGTGGAAAGAGTAATGTGGAAAGAGTGGAGACTAGATCCCAAATTTCAAGGGAAGTGGCTTGAATCGGCGAAAGAGGAGCCTGGATGTTGCAGTTTGGCGCAGGGAATGTTGGGAGTCGCAGTCTGTGGGGATCTATTTCGGGTCCGGAAGAGGTAGGGTCCTGGGCCTGGGCCTCCCCTGCAGGGAAGGGGATGCAGGCATCACCCTCTTCACTTTCTCCCCTGCAGGAGGACGGAGGATGGCGGCAGATAGAGGAAAGAGGTGCCGGCCGAGAGGAGGAGAGCGGGTCCCACGGAGCAGCCCTGCCCGGTCCCAGCACGGCTTCCCCTTGAGACGGCGGGGAAAGGCCGGGGGGCTCCGGAGCTGCAGGAGGGATGAGCCCAGGGGGAGCCCGGGAAAGGCGGCTGCCTGGAGGGCGATGAGGGGAGGAGGAAATGGGTGGAGTCCCAGAGATGGGCCTGGAAGGCGGAGGCCACACCTCCACCGGTAACCATAACAACAATCGACACCGCACAGGCGCCATCTGGCTGGTTGGTGGAAGAAGGACGGTGATTGGTCTCTCTGGGGCAGTTTGTCGATTGGCAGGAAGACTACTTGGGGCAGTCCCTGCGAAGGAAGAGGCGGAACTTATAGAGAAAAAACGGCATGAATCTTCCAATTCCGGAAACAAAACGGGCAATGAGGGAAGCTGCCTGAATTGGTGACAGAGAAACCAGGATGCTGGAGGTTGGCTGCAGGGAATGCTGGGAGTTGAAGTCCGGGAGGATCTTTCTGGAGAAGGCAGGCCCGGGCGCCCGAGTCCTAGTCTGGGGGGTGGGCAGGAGGCTAGGAGGGAGGCTGTGTCCGCCTGGAGCATCCCCGGGAGGCCCGTGGAAGGCAGGGGCTTGGGCCTGGGCCTCCCCTGTGGGGAAGGGGATGCAGCCATGACCCTCTTCTCTCTCTCCTTTGCAGGAGGACGGAGGATGGCGGCGGATGCAGGAAAGAGGCACCGCCCGAGAGGAGGAGGAGGATGAGAGCGGGCCCCGCGGAGCAAATGCATTGGTTACAATTGATGCTCCCCAACTTCTGATTCTTTTGCCTTTTGAACATCTCAGAAAGATTGGAAAAACCTCTCAAGAAACGCCAAGGTCCCCAGTGTATTTTCGATCCTCTCTAGTCTGGTCTCTTTGATGCCGCCCAGAACTGTCCCGAACTGCAGACCAAGACCACAGAAAAGGTTGAGAAGGGAGACCCCGATAACCCCATGGTCCTAGACCTGGACCAGATCAAGGAAGCCTTTGCCCAATGGGTGGGGCCCAAAGGCCTCGATGGGAACCAGTCCAGGCCATCTGCACAACTCAGTGAATCCAGCTGGCTGTGTTTTTAGGGTGCCTTTCCCCCCCAAAAAAACCTATGAGGGAGCCTCCCACTGTCGGGAGGAAAAGGGCCCTTCATGCAACCTGTATCTTGAGCCAAAGGATCCGGGCTCTTGGTGGAGGAGAAGCCCATCACTTGTGGTCATGGGAACCCAACTGCAGCAGCTCAGAAACCCTGATAACTACGGTGAAGGGCTGGCTCTGCTTCCCTGACTCCATCCCGTCCATCGAATGGCCAGCTTGATGAACGGAAGGGCCGAGGTGGGGGATTGTTCACCTTGCTGGTTGAGAATATCCAAAATTGTCTCCTCGCAAAAGCATCTTTGATCACATCCTACAAAGCCTCCAGTGGTAGAGGACGTGCCCTGAGGGTTCAGAGGGTCCCAATCCCCCTTTCTGGGCATAGCCACACCCGGAAAGCCTTTCTCCTCAGAGTCCGTGGGCAGTGAGGGAGGCATGGTGGCTGCTGGGGCAAACAGCCCCACCCTTTGCTTCATGCCACAGTAAGGGTCTCCGTGCCGCGAGGCCAAAGCCCCACTCCGCTTCTCTGCTGCAGAGGGGAAGGTCAGCTGGTGGAGAAGGCCAGGCCCTTCCCTTCCTCCAGGCTGGGGCAGAGCAGCAGAAGAAAAGCTGTTGCAGGGATCACCTTGGCTGCTATACTTGAAGGTATCGGTAATTTATTGTTTTTGAAGTGTGTCTTTTGTGATTTGTGGGAAGGACAGGTGGGGAAGGGAAGCAAAGAGTTTGAATTCTTTCCCTTCCCTCTGAGAAGTCAAAGAGCTGCCAAATTCATTCGAAAGAACAGAGATCTTGGAGTAGAGAGAGAAAATAAAGTTGTTGAATAAACTGTTTGTGAGCCAAGTTCTTTGGAAATTATTTTCTCAACCCTCCGGGACTAATGCAGGTGTAGGAAGGAAACGCAGGGAGAATAAAAAAAGGAGGAGATGCCTACACATCAACACCCAAAGTATGAAGAATAAACAGAGGGAACCTGACGTCCCAGAACATGAGAGCAAAGATGAGATTGCTGCCGTTACTGAAACATGGTGGGATGAAACTCAGGAGGATTTAATAAAAAGAGGTGGAGGTGGAGTTGCACTTAAACAGCTGCACCTTTGTAGAAATGCAAAAAGTAAAAAATGAAGAAAACCTCCTTGAATGCATTTGGGTTAATATGAAAGGAAAACGGAATGAGGTTGCCAGAGGTGTATACAATGGACTGCCCAATCGGAGGAACTAGATCAGGGGCGTCAAACTGAAGGGTGCTTGGATCTGGCCCGTGGGGAACAGATCGGACTGGCCCACAATGCCTCTGCCAGCGAAAACAGAGCTCGGGAGGGAAGCGTGTAGCCCTACCGGCCCCATTTTGAGCTGCAACGGTCGCCTGCACTCCTCTGCCAGCGAAAAGGTGGCCTCCACCCCCCAAGCTCCATTTTCACTGGCAGAGGATTAGAAAAAGAAACTAAAAGCAAAAGAAATGTTTCTCCTTTTGCATTTGAGCATCCAAGAAGGGACAGGAAAGTGGAAAGACAAAGAAGGAAAGGCAAGAAGGTAGGAAAGAAAAAGGAAAGAGGGAAGGAAAAAGAAAAGGGAGAGCAGGAGGAAGGAAGGAAGGTTATGAGGGAGGGAGGGTCTGAGGGAAATCCTGTCTTAGCACTTGGCCACCACAGGTGCCCACAAGAAGAGTGAAGATGAGCTGGCCACGCCTACCCAGGGACCCCCCTCAAACACAACACTTTTTTGAAACCTGAATGAAATAAGAGTTTGACACCACTGAGCTAGATGCACCTTTTGCTAAGCATTTAGCTGATGAACAGAAAGCAGAGGAATGGGGGACTTTCCCTATCCTGGCAACTGGGGAACACCCAGTCTCTGCACCTAGTGGGAGGACCAAACAGGTCCCCAATGAGTCTTCTTCATTTAAAACCTTCTTATAACTGCCCATCTTTCAGTCAACTCTGTGCAGCTCCCAAAAGGGTGTTTTCAAAAGTATCCAACACATTAAAACATAAAAGAAAACCATCAAAGAAAAACCTGGGGCCAATCCATGCCACCTTCTCCTTGTATGACCTCCCAGCGCCTGGGGAAAAGCCAGGGGTTTTAAGGCTAAAAGGGTGGGGGCTTTTTAAGAATATGGCTCATATCTCACAAAGCTTCCTTGGCCTTAGAGAGTCCTTGTAGGGGTTTCTGCTGGAAGACAAGGGGACCATTCAGGGAATCCAACTGAGAGCTTCAGATGCTTGGGGATGGTCTTAATAGGTCCCCACATTTGGGAAATCCACATAGATTATATCAAACAATGGCAGGGAGAAGCTCTTCAACAACCCCAACAATAAAGGCCAAATGAGTCCTAGATTCAGCCACAGCACACTTGCTCCAATGAGGATCTGAGTGGGAGGAGCATTCAAAGGCAATTTATTAGAATATTGTAGCAAAGAGATTTTCCTCAATGAAAAGAGGGAATCCAGGACACAAAGAGCGGCTGATTCAAACTCAGGGTCTCCGAAGGTCCCACAATAGACCCAACTGACTGCCCTTCATGGGCTGATATAAGGCTTCAACCCCTGACCTCCGCCGGCCTCAATACGGGGGGGGAGAGACCGGACCCCAAAATTCAAAGAAAGCCCCCCTCCCCTCCTGTCCTACCTCCGCCCCAGACCGTAACAAGCCACGGCACTGCGCAGATGCCATCTGCCTTGTCACAGGAAGAAAGACGCTGATTGGTCGCGCTCAGGATGTTGGCGATTGGCAAATGGACTCTGTGGGGCGGATCCTGCAAAGGAAAAGGCGGAACTAGTGGAGAAAAAGGGCGTGAAGCCTCCATTTCCAGAAACAAAACGGGCAAAGAGGGAAGCCGCCTGAATCGGCGACAGAAGAGGCCGTTTGATGCAGGTTTGCCGCAGGGGATGCTGGGAATCGTAGTCTGGGAGAGTCTCTTTCCGGTCCGCATGAGGGAGTGGGCTTGGGCCTGGGCCTCCCGTGCGGGGAAGGGAATGCTGGGTGTTGAAGTCCGGGAGGGTCTCTCCAGAGAAATGAGGCTTGGGATCCCGAGGCCTAGTCTTGAGGGTGGGGAGGGAGACGGGAGGCTTGGAGAGAGTCCGTGTCTGCCTGGAGAATGCCCGAAAGGCCCGTGGGAGGTTTGGCACAGCGGATGCTGGGAATCGTAGTCCGGGAGGGTCTCTTTCAGGTGCGCACGGGGGGGGGCTTGGACCTGGGCCTCCCCTGCGGGGAAGGGGACACAGCCGTGACCCTCTTCTCTTTTTCCCCTGCAGGAGGACGGAGGATGGCGGCGGATGCAGGAAAGAGGTGCCGCACGAGAGGAGGAGGAGGAGAGCGGGCCCCGCGGAGCAGCCCAGCCCGGTCCCTGTGAGGCTTCCCCAGGAGATGGCGAGGAAAGTCTGGGGGGCTCCAGGGCCACAGGAGGGAGGAGCCCAGGGGGAGCCCGGGAAAGGCGGCTGCCTGGAGGGCGATGCAGGGAGGAGGAAATGGGCGGAGACCCCAAGATGGGCCTGGAGGGCGGAGTCTCCTTCGGAAGACCCCGAAAGCCCCAAAGGATCCAGGAGGAAGCAAAGGAACATCAGTGCCCGGAATGTGGGAAATCCTTCAGAACAAATGGACGTTTTGAAAACCATCTAAAAAACCACTCAGTTGGCAACCCATATCAGTGCCTTGAGTGTGGAAAGAGCTTCAGTCATAGGAGCAACCTTTATAGACATCAAAGGATCCACACAGGAGAAAAACCTCATAAATGCCTGGAATGTGGAAAGAGCTTCAGTCAGAGGGGACATCTTTATAAACATCAAAGGAGCCACTCAGGAGAAAAACCACATAAATGCCTGGCAAGAAAGGTAATAACATCCAATTAAAAGTTTCGCTTTTAATAAATTTAATATATTTTTTTCTTTTAATAAATTCCTTTAGTCTTCCAGGGCCATGCCCAGGGTCCCAGGCCTGAGTTTGACTGCTGTCGGTCATCCTTATGGCAACTAGCAGAGCAGGCTGTCCTGGGAGGGGCGGGAGGCCTTGTATGAGTCTGGATGTCCATCTGTCAGTGGTTCGGGAAAGTTGGATTCTCAACTGGGCAGCTGTGGACGAGATCCCTGCCTGATCCCTGTCCAAGGGCTGCAGTTGAGGGCTGCTCCGATTGTTAGACTTTGAAGTTAAAGAATGGAATTCTGAGGCCTGCCCTCAAAAGAATATAGATATATATATATACCCATACATATGTACATACACATTAATCACAGCCCATTTAGATTACATAACAAGAGACTTGGGAGTTCACAAGGTGGATACTTCTTCATATGGAAGAAAACTGACTGAATCTAATGTGCTGCTTCGGATACCGCAGAGCCTCTTCCCAGCAGTTGTGGAGAGGATGTGTTGTGTCCCAGACAATCCTGCACAACCTGGTCAGGCATCGTTTCTAGCTGATTAGAAACCAGTTGAGTTTCTGGGACGGAAAGTTCTTCAGTGGGATGAGACATTTTATTGTGAATTTGAGAATTCCCATATTTATATCTTCTGAGTTTGCAAAACTTTATTGAACTTTATTGAGGATAACATCAGGGTAAAGATCAAGAATGGCATTTTCTTTTCCTTGAAAAGCCAAACCGTGTCTAGGAGGAAAGTTTGGGGATTGAGTAGAAATGCGAGTGGGAAACAGTGTGGGCAGTTGAACGGTTTTTCTACCAAATTGGGCTAGTTTTGCAGATTTGTTGCAGGAAAAAGTTTGACCTCTGTGGGTTCCAATTTGGGGGCTATTTTGGATTATTTTTAAAGCACTGTACAGATAGTCCTTGACCTACAACTATTTGCTTAGTGACTTAGTGGAGTTATAGCTGCACTGAAAAAAGTGGCCTTGACCAGTTTTCACACCTACGACTGTTCCAGCATCCATGTGGTCAAAATCCAGGCGCTTAACCACTGGCATGTATTTATGACGGCTTCGCTGTCCCAGGGTCACGCCATTAGATGGGTCCGCCCCAGGCGCCTGATGGATCCTGATAGGTTCCAGACGGAGCTTGGGCCTATTCCTGATGATCTGGCACACGACTCGGCTGAGGACCTAGTAGCTGCCTGGGATCGGGCGGCTGGTGGGGCCTTGGATCGAGTCGTGCCTTTGCGGCCTCTGACCCGGTGTCGATCCCTCGCGGCTCCTTGTTCACCGAGGAGCTGAGGGAGATGAAACGCCGGAAAAGACGCCTAGAGAGCAGTTGGAGGGCCAGTCACGCTGAATCTGACCGAACACTGGTAAGGTCGCATATTAAGACCTACCTAGTGGCGATAAAGACGGCAAAGTTTAATTACTTTTCCGCCTCTATTGCTCATCAGGCAATCGTCCGGCTGCCCTGTTCAGGGTAACCCGCTCCCTGCTCCACCTGGGAGCGCGGGAGGTTCCCTTGGAAGGCAGGGCGGAGGATTTCGGACAATACCTGCATGACAAAATCGCTCAGATCCGGGGGGACTTGGATAGATCAGGGTAGGGTGACGAGGAATAGTCTTGAGAATGTTATCTGGGAGGAGTTTGATGCTGTGACTCCCGATGATGTGGACAGGATTTTGGGGAGACTTAGTGCGGCCACATGTTTACTGGACCCGTGTCCTCCTGGTTGGTACTGGCCTCCCGGGAGGTTACACGAGGCTGGCTCCAGGGTGTTATCAACGCTTCGTTGAGTGAGGGTTACTTCCCCGCGGCCTTGAAAGAGGCGGTGGTGAGGCCTCTCCTCAAGAAGCCATCCCTGGATCCGGCAATATTGGCCAACTACCGTCCTGTCTCCAACCTTCGCTTTCTGGCGAAGGTTGTTGAGAGTGTGGTCACGCGACAGTTCCCGCAATTCCTGGAGGAAACATCCTATCTGGATCCGTTCCAGTCTGGTTTCAGGCCTGGGCACAGCACGGAAACGGCATTGGTCGCGTTGGTTGATGATCTCTGGAGGGCTCGGGACAGGGGTTGCTCCTCTGTTCTGGTCCTGTTAGACCTCTCAGCGGCTTTTGATACCATCGACCATGGTATCATGCTGCATTGGTTGGAAGAGTTGGGATGGGGGGCACTGTGTTACGGTGGTTCTCCTCCTTTCTCTCCGACCGGTCACAGTTCGTGTTGGCAGGGGGGCAGAGGTCGACCTCGAGGCCTCTTATATGTGGAGTGCCTCAGGGGTCGGTCCTCTCGCCCCTCCTGTTCAACATTTATGTGAAGCCGCTGGGCGAGATCATCCGGCTTTGGGGTGAGATACCATCAGTACGCTGATGATACTCAGCTGTACATCTCCACCCCAGGCCACCCCAATGATGCCCTTGAAGTGATGTCCCAGTGCCTGGAGGCTGTACGGATCTGGATGGGGAGGAACAGGCTCAGGCTCAACCCTTCCAAGACTGAGTGGCTGTGGCTCCCGCATCCCGATATGGTCAGTTGACTCCATCACTGACTATTGGGGGCGAGTCTTTGGCCCCCACAGAGAGGGCTCGCAATCTGGGAGTCCTCCTGGATACGCAGCTGTCCTTGGAGGAACATCTGACGGCTGTAACCAGGGGGACCTTTTATCAGGTTCGCCTGATCCGCCAGTTGCGGCCCTTTCTTGATCGGATTCCTTGTGCACAGTCACTCATGCCCTCGTAACCTCTCGCCTTGATTACTGCAATGCTCTCTACATGGGGCTCCCCTTGAAGAGCACCTGGAGGCTCCAACTGGTCCAGAACGCAGCAGCGCGGGTAGTGACGGGAGCAGCGTGGCGCTCCCATGTAACACCGCTCCTGTGTGAACTGCACTGGCTCCCGGTGGTCTTCCGGGTGCGCTTCAAGGTGTTGGTTATCACCTTTAAAGCGCTCCATGGCATAGGGCCTAGCTATCTTTGAGACCACCTACTGCCACCGACAACCTCCCCACCGACCCATGCGCTCCCACAGAGAGGGCCTCCTCGGGGTGCCATCAGCCAAACAATGCAGGCTGGTGACCCCCAGGGGCAGGGCCTTCACTGTGGGGGCACCCACCCTCTGGAATCAGTTGCCCCGAGATAAGGAAAATCCATGACCTCAGTGCCTTCCGCCGTGCCCTTAAAACTTTCTTTTTTCAACAAGCCGGGCTGGCTTAATTTCTTTTTAAGGGTTTTTTAATTGTCTTGTTTTGTTTATCGTTTTAATTAATGGGGCCAAATCTATATATATATTTTAAATGTGTTTTAATATTTGTATTTGATGTTTTTATTTGGCTGTTCACCGCCCTGAGTCCTCAGGGAGAAGGGCGGTATACAAATTCAAAAATAAAATAAAATAAAAAATAAAATAAAATAAATCAGTATTGATATCTTTCACATCTGGTGTCTCACAAAGTCATTGGAGGATTCGCATAACAACTTCACAATTCACTTCACAACTGTAGGATATGACCTGCCAATTATGGCAAAAAATGGGGTGCAGTAACTGTCAAGAACAGAAATTTTTGTCTCAATTCTGATTATAGATCTAGTTAGTACTACCTGGACAGTTTGGGGGCAATATTATCCAACCGTCATGAACGATAACCGCAAATACATCCCAGAGACAGTAAGAGGATTAAGTCAGCCAGGCCCTCCCCACCCCCAGCTGCCTTGCCAGCCCCTCCACAGACCCCCACACACACACACACACACACTGGATTCACTTCTCCTTTCTCATCCCTCCTCCTTTCTGAAGGGCCCCTTTGGAAACTGCAGCAGAGGGGAAATCCCCTCCAATACTGACCCCTGCATATTTGGATTTTTCAACTTTTTTCAGCCCTTGGAAACCTGATGCTCCAGTTGACACACATATATATTTTCCTCCTCCACCCCCTCCCCCTTTGGAGGGGGCTCCCTGCTGCTGCTGCTGCCCAGGCCAGTGTGCCCTGCGATGTAGCCCCCCACCCACGGACTGGCAGCTTTGAAATGACTAACTTAAAATGACATATTAGCCCTTTTAACATGGCAGTCTATGCCTCTTTTTTAAGGTTAAGAATGCTTGTTTTTTTCCCTTCTTGACGAAGGCTCTTTATTTGGTATGTGAGAACTTGCTTTTTCAGCAACTACACAACAGAGTATTCCGAGTGTCTCTAAATACATCTGCAACTTCCAGGAAAGACACAAACCCAGCTGGGAAAGACTGACACAAAAATTGGTCCATGTGGAATTTTATCCAGAATCAATGTTTCTGTTTGCGCTTCACAAGCACTCAATGTCTTTTATGGTTTCATCATTTCTTTACTGACTTCTATGAGGAAATTCACTAGCAGGAACCATTGGCAGGAGGTTCTCATCCTTAGCTCCTCTTTAACTGGAGATGGTCTCCTTTTCTGCATAAATTCCTAGTTCTTCTACCTAGGAACAAGAATTGTCCTGGATGAAATGGAGGCTACATAGATGCTTCTTAAAAACACATTTGCGAGTTGTAGGATCTTATTTACTAGAATCCTGGATTTATTTTT